GGAAAGACGCCAGTTGAAAGAATGGGTCTCATTTGCAGGCAGCTTGCATTGTGTTTTATAAGAATGTGTTTGACATTTTAAGCTTTCCTGTGACTGTAAATTGCACTTCTCCTAGCAGCAGGAGTTATTAAGTCTGTGCTCAGAATAAACCAGACTGTTTTGGAAAGTTTAATATTTTTTTTCTTTTTCTATGTTCCATTTTATGATTGCATTTGTTTCCTCAAAGAGAAACCCACGTATTAGAATACAGTTTATTATTTCAAATTTATAATGACAAATTATTTTATTTTTTTAAACCCTCAATGGGTTCCGTCATAGTCTACTTTAAAAACTAAAAACAAATTAAATAAGAAGATAGAATTCTGGCTCTAAATTAATTTTTTTAATGAATAAACATTCAACCTGAAATTCTTGGGGCGTACAAAAAATCATTTGGAACATAGATACATTCACAGCAGCTAGAATACCATCTGTTTTGTTACTTGCACAATTGTTTAATTTACTGCTGAGAGAGTGGCATCTAAGGCTTTCAAATTTGAGCTTCCCCAACCCCATGCCAATAATGTGGAGATGTGAAGCAATATTTTTAATAATAGAATAAATTATTGTAAAACTAGCTTTAAACTAACAGAAATAATATAATAATGATGAGAGTCTTTCAAAGTTTGTTTAGAAATGCCTTATAGTCTTTCTACAGCCTTATAGTCCTTTAAATTGTTAGAAAATGAGTCATTGTTAGCTGACACATGAAAAAAGAAAATCAGACCTGAAAAAAGAAAATGGAACCAGATTGGTGGCTCATGCTACTCAGGAGGTTGAGATCTGATGAGGATCATGGCTTGAAGCCAGCTTGGGCAGGAAACTCTAACGTCCAATTAATCACTAAAAAGCTGGAAATGGAGGTGTGCCTCAAGTAGTATAGTGCTAGCCTTGAGCAAAAAAAGCTCAGGGGTAGCACTCAGGCTCTGAACATAAACTTCAGTACCAGCACCAAAAAAAGCCAAAAATAAACAAAAAAAGGCAAATGAATGTAAAATCAAAGTGGATATAATTGGCATTATTTATAAATTATATAGATTCAATAAGAATCAATGAGTATGAGAATCAGTCAAAACCAATGAGAATTAATTAATATATGAAAGTTAAGTGACTAATTTCTTTAGGACAAAGGACTGTAATCCATGTTTTTTTGTTTTTTACTCGATAAGACTATATCTACTTATCCAACAGAAAAAGGGGTGGTCTTCAGGCACATTCTTAACTAAAATAGATGTTACACAAAGAACCCAGTAATTGGTATAAATGTTTCAGTGATTCGTATTTACATGCAGTAAAAGTTTCCAAGTCAAATTTCAATTTTTTATTATTCAACAAGTCTTCCATTTCCTGCTTTAATGGATGGATCATAATACATCGAGCAGTGGGAATAATTCAAAGCTCAACACTACGGTGTTGGTAACTTGACAATATAGTTGGCAAGGTGAGTTTTGCTGATGGCAAAACACAGCCACAGTATGAAATAGTCGGCTTCAGCACTATCAGTATTAGATTTCTAGGACCTTCGTGTTTCGAAGATTACTTTTATCCTTACAGAATATACTACACATAAAGCCAATACAACATCTCACTGAGAATAAAAGCTTCTGTGAGCTCTGCCAATATAATTTTAACAGCCCATATTTTAACTTGTTAAAAATAGTTTGTAAAATGGATGGACAAACTCCCAGACAAGAGATTATCAATTGCTTTGGCTGAGAAAAAGATCTTTGTAAGTACCTACTTCAACATTCTGCTCACAAGTTTCAACATGAGAGTCTATACAACTTTTTTTTTTAACAGAATGGTACATGTATGATCTAGCCTCTTTCTATGCTTATGTAGCAATAATAATATTCTTTCTTAGGAAAATGACAAAATAGGGCAGAAACAGGGCTATAGTTCAGCCAGATAGATGCAGAACCTGAAGAGCTTTCTGCAGAAGAAAGCTGCACTGAGAATATAATCCAGTTCTGCAGTAGGTAAAGTAGTAGGTTTAGAGGGGACATGACACCAGATAGTTTTGAAGCTTCAGGACTGGTATTTCCTCCCATTTGGGGGCCTTTACTTCCATAAAGGGATAGGCTAAAATGAGATCAGATGAAGTAATGTGTTGGACATTGGCATTGTGATATCCACACCTATAGCCAAAGGTAGAATACTTTTCTCTACCCAGAAGGTCCACCTTCTTTCATCTATCTTCTTTCTTTCTTTTGTCTATCTTCTTTCATTTCAATTCCAATTTCAGTAAAGAGTTCTGTTCTGCTTTTCTGAGGAATTTCATAGTTCCCTATGAAGACTTTAAAGATCCTGGCCATATAGATTATTCTGTCATTCAGTCTTCCATTCCCCGCCCCATCCCCCCCCCCCCCCCCCGTGTCTCCCCCCCCACCGCAGCTGCTCTGCTGATTCTTTGTATTGCTAAAGTCTGCATTCAGATCTAAAATTCTCAGTAACATTCCCTATCCCCAGAAGCATCTATGATTAATAAATCATGGTAATTGTGACAGAAAAATATCTTTGTGTGTGTGTGTGTGTGTGTGTGTGTGTGTGTGTGTGTGTGTGTGTGTGTGTAACATTTGAGAGCATGGGGTACTCTTTTCAGTGGGTATTTTCTTTAGATTAGCTGTATCAACTGCTTTGCTGTTGTTCTGTTTTGTTTTCTGATGAATTCTACAAAGGAAGAGCTGGACTCCAGCTACCTTGAAGCATTAATGTTAAAGATTATGATCAGAAAGATCTCATCGAAGAGAATGTTTCCTTTCCCCTCTATTTTTAATCTCTCCATATAAAAATTAATGCCGTGAGTATATATCAAAATAATTGAAAGCCCTGAGAAGCTCAGACAGGAAATTTATAAGTTTGAGGCCCTGAGTTCAAACCCACTAAAAACAAGGGAACAAAAACACCACATGAAGCCGGGCGCTGGTGGCTCACGCCTGTAATCCTAGCTACTCAGGAGGCTGAGATCTCCGGATCATGGTTCAAAGCCAGCCTGGGCAGGAAAGACTGTGAGACTCCTATCTCCAATAAACCACCAGAAAACCGGAAGTGGCGCTGTAGCTCAAGTGGTAGAGCACTCGCCTTGAGCTGAAGAGCTGAAGGACAGTGCCCAGGCCCAGAGTTCAAGCCCCACGACCGACAAAAAAACAAAAAACAAAAAAACACCACATGAATTGAAATCAGAGCTATTTGTATGCCCAATTTCATGAATTCGTACTACAGCCAAAAGATGGAAATCAATGGTGTGTCCAACCCCAGAGGAATGCACATACAAAAATATGGCATATTCATACAATAGAGTGTTAGTCACCTTATGCAGGCATTAATGTGGTGTCTGGAACATCATAAATGAATTGTGAAGACATTATGCTGAATGAATTATGTCACAATATGGCATCACAATATGAAATCACATAAGATTCAATCATATAAGATTCTCTGAAGAGTTAAATTCTTTTGTCAAGAAGGTACAATAGTGGTTGGCAGATACCTCAAAAGTGGTTAAAATTTCCTACTTTATATTTTACCACATTTTTTTAAAGGAAAAATCAATGATTTTTAAAATGGTTCTTTCCCCGAAAGCTCAGAATTCAGTGCTGACTATAATGATAGCCCGGTGACTGGCTGGTTTGTTTACTAGCTAAGTTATCTGTGCACTTATATTTTTCCTGAAACTTTCCTTGCTCTGTAACTTCCGAAGTGCTCTTTTTAAAGACTGTAAAATTAGAGTACACTTGAACTTATACCACTGATTTTAGACCCTGGCACTTAACCAGACTCCTTTTTTTTTTTGCAAACCAGGAAAGCAGATATGATTGGATTTCCTCTATTACTAAGTAATAAATTATGGGTTTATTTGTACTTAGGAACTACATGAATACATCTAGGAGTAGTCCATTATGGAATAAAATCCTCTTGGTTTTGCCTCTGGCACTTGAAGTTAGAAAAAGGGAGGAATGAAGGCGAAACAAATGGCAAAACAGTAGATTTGTTTTCATCTACACACATCAAAGGCTGTAGGTAGGAAGACTGAGTCTAAGACCTCAGGCAAAAAATGTGAGACCTTACCTAAAAAGTAACTGAAGCCCAAAAGGGTTGATGTTGTGACTCAAGTGGTATAGTACCTACCTACCAAGCACAAGGCTCTGAAGTCAGCTTAAGAAAATATATGCAATAGATTGACAAATTAGAAACCTATAAACTACATTTCCCAGAATGTCCAGTGTCTAATTATCTGGGATGGAGAGCACTTTGTAGCAGCAACTCTGATCACTAGGACACAGTCAGATGGTGAGTTCTTGATGTTAGCAGCATTCCTATAGTGGTGGCTCTGTTTTCTTCTGATCCACCTCTAGCCTGTGGCAGTGATGGCATCAATCTGTTGCCAGTTCTATGGAACTGCTTGGGGTCATCTCCCTGGGCTCAAAAGAGACAAATTCCTCCCCTTGCAGGGCAACTTTCCTTCCTAACCTTCTGGTGAACATCTAACCTAAGTTCCTTTCTGCTCAGAGCTACGAGACCAGTTTTCTGGGTGACACATGAAAGAGAAGGGAGAGATGAAAGCATCTGACATGCCAAGATGATAAAGAAGGCCTTGGGAACGCTGTGAATGGGAAAGACTGTGTGTCCTTCTGACATAGAGTTACACACAGGAGAACCAAGTCATAGGCTCAATCATCAAGGAGACTAAAACCTAATCATAAAGGCTGACAATGGCTTATGGGCACCCCCAAAGAGAGAAGGGACAGAGAGAAACAAAATGCATAAAGGCACATGTGCGGGGGAAAAACACCACTTAAGATGCATTTACTCAAATGGTCAACTGAGAGTCAACTAGGCAGCAACATCTCTGGAGATCTGGCCAATCAACATACTTCTTTCCACCTCCCATTGGACCCATCTTTCATGACTGAGGCAGTATATAGCTTTACACACATTGTTCAGTTGCTCCTCACACTCACCTGGGGGGAATCATGGTCCCCATTCCACAGATGAAAAAGCGGCTTTCAGGTGGGCATCACTCCAAGTGATCTTGTTCAAGCTCAAAATGACTTTTCTCCATGTAAGAGATACCCAAAATGAATGACATTAAGGCCTCTAGCAAGTTCCTTGGCAATGTCTTCTATTAGGCCAAGGACATTCAACTGGCCATGTTAGCATCACTATTCTTTGAACCAGAATCAGGCTCAATAATGAACTTCTTCCGTCTTTAGTCCATCCTCCAGTCATATCCATATTTTTATGTCTCTCTTTACAGAGCATTGTCCAATTTATCTATGAGTTTTAAAAAAGTTCTCACGGACAAGGACTGACAGTCTAGTTTCAACAATTCATTATACCATGGGCTTCTCTGAGGGACGGCTTTCACTCAACTCCCATGAAAAAATGTAAACTGGACCGTCAACATGAAACAAAAACAAGGATTTAGTTGCATTTTTTTTCTCTCAATGTTAAGATCTAGTGTCTTGCCAAGCAGGTCTAGCATGTGCTTCAAAGGTCAGAGCTTGGTTCTTTAAAGGAGTACATATATATATATATATACATATATGTGTATATATATGTTTATATACATATATGTATAGATAATACATTCTTTGATGAGAAATAAAATGCATTTTAAGTATTTGCATATCTATCAATAATAACACTTATGATAACAACCTCTTCTTATGGTCCTTTCAATCCCAAATAAAATATGGCTTATGAAAACAGATTTAAGATTTCCGGGGAATTCCCTCTTCAATTGAAGGCACTGTTAGGTCACTTAACTATACAGACAAAGCACTGTCCATGTCACATCCTCCTGGTAAGGAAAATGTTATTAATACCATGGTGCATTAGCTATGTTAAGATACACACACTAAAGGCCAAACTAGATCCAAAGCACACCATTACAGTAGTTGAATCTTTCTAGCAATATTACTGGTTTTGAGTTAGGAAAAGCTTCCTTAGAGTGCTTGCTTTTCAAACCTAACCAAACGGACGGAGCAGTTTCCTCAGTGACCAAATACTTCTTAAAGGTCTCCTTTAAAGTTCCATGCCAACAAAGGCATCAGAGGGCTGACTGGCTTCCTCTCCAGCCACCCTCCCCTGGGAGCATCTCCAAGGCACCCTAAGGAACCCGCACAACACCACTGTTGTTTTACATTGCAGGCATCACAAACAGAAAACCTAGAACTCTCCTTTCACTAAACTTCCAAACAGATGAATCATGCATGACATTGGAGGACGGAGGATTCGATTTGCCCACAAGTCACAGGAATAGCAGTGGTTTTAGCTGCTGAACTAAAGGGTTAAATACCAACCGCTACCTGCCCTAATGCCAATAACTTTAGCCTCAAAACGACATCGATTATATCTCAACTCCTTTCCCCTACAAAATTCCCAATGTACATTTAAATGCATGCACGCCCACCGACCCAAAGCTTTGCACGCAGATGTCTGACCATCTTTCTATATAAAAGCACGGTGTGTTTATATACTCACAAACAACTCAATTCCTATAAAGAATTGTTTTTAAAAACCCCACAGAGCATGTCCTCTGCAAATCCTGCTAGGCTGTTTTAGCTTTCCTTCCTAGAATTTTATATTCTCATCATCAGCTTTGAAAACTTTTATGGCTTCAAGTTATCTTAGGACTCCGCCTCCCGTTAGTTCAAAAAAAATAATCATTTCCCAAGTGATGTCTGTTAAGGGGAAAGCCACACGTGCACGCTACCCGAATACAAATCCGCGGCACCTCTGCGCCGCAGCACGCTCAGCCTCCATCCAGCCCTGAGCTAGGATGTCAGGGCTCGCCCCCCAAGCCCGTCCCGCAGCCCCCAGCCCGCCCCCATCTCAGGATGGGCTCCCCAGCTTTGATCTGAAGTTTGCAAGGTAAACAAGTCACCCAGAGCGACGAGAACATTCCGCCGGCCGGGGAAGGACGGGCACTCACCCAGGCAGCAGCCCCCCCCACCGGCCGCGGGCCCGGAGCGCGCGCCGGGCGACCTGTCGCGCCCTGTCCTCGCTGCCGGTGCAGAGCCAGCAGAACTAGGGCGGACTCGACGCTGGCCGCCGCCGCTCCCCGCTGCAGCCCATCCTCGGCACTCGGGTCGCCGCGCTTTCCTCCGGGAACCCGGGCGGGAAGCCGTGCACAGCCTCGGAGTTGCGGTGCTGCCTGGAACTGGAGGTGGAAGAAGCTCTTTGGCACCAGAGCCCGGGGGTCGGGGACGTGGGCTGTATGAGATGGAACTTCCACCCTTTCGACCTATTTTGGAACGTGAGAGTGGAAGGAGCGAGGTGGGGGGGGCGGTGGGGGGAGTAGACAGAGCGCGCGGGGTGCGGGGGCGCGCGCGGCCTTGGGGAGCGCGCGCGCACGCGGCCGGGCGGGAGTGCGGCCGGCGGCCGAGAAGTTGGAGCGCGGCCGGGAGGCCTCGGGCGCCGATCCTCGCCAGGGTACCGACCTCCCGCCACCTCCCGCCACCTCCCGGCCCCTGCCACCACCTGAGTCCAGGCTCCGACCGAGCCTAGACGCCGCGCGCCCTGCGCTGGCAGTGCCACAATGGGGGCTCCCGACCCGCCCCCGATCCCGGTCCCAAAGGCCACCCTCGCCTCCTGGACACGCCCTCACCTCTCCCGAAACCGAGGCCCCGAGGGCGGGTAGACTCAGCGGGGTGGCGCAGGGTGCGGAGGAGATCACTTCCCCGGCCTCCTCCTCCTGGATCGCCCCTCCCGAACGTGCCAGAGAAGTGGAGCGTGGGGATGGAGGTGACCTTCCTGCCTCCTCCCCTCTCCTTCTCCCCCGTCCTGCGCACCTGGTCGGCAACACCATGATGCCCTCTCTCGTCCTTTGATCCTTGCAGCCAGCCACCTACCTATAGCATCAGCCAGCGGAACTGACTCCACTGGGGTACCTGAGTGCTTGGGATACCCCAAGATCTCATCCTGGGGCCACCCCAAGATCTCACTCCAGGATCCAGGATGTCTGCTGGCTGGGAATCTTCACCAAATTAACAGCATGGTTCACTCTCAAGAGTTTTGTGAGAACGAGCCCCCCCTCTTGGGTAGGTAGCAAGTAGCAAGAGGATAGGATGGGACTTAGACGTTTTTGCCTAACATGAGACTCACCCCAGTCATGACGAGTAATAAATAGGATTAGCTGCTTTCTCTCAGGCCCTTAGCTAATAATCTTAACCTCTGTCAGTAAACAGCGTCAAGAATCTACGTGCTTTTTTAAAATGCATGGTCTCAACAGAGAAAAGACAGCCCGTGCTGTAGCTGTTCCAGTGCCCTTTGTCTACTGTTCCTAGGACGGGGGTCATCATATCTGACTTCTTAGTTTTGCAGCCAGGGTCTTGTGCGTCTCGCATAGACACTGGTCTAGTTAGGGTGTTAATGAAAAAGGCTGAAGAAAATCAGCTTGTGGAATCATGTTCTAGTAATGCTTCGTATATTAGGATGGAGTCAGGAGGAATTTTGGCTGGGGCCTCTATCACTGTGCCAAACATAAGCAAATAAGCATTTCCTTATTTCTTTACTCTGTAAATGTGTAAAAAAAAAAAAAAGCCAGATTTTCCATGTTCTTCAGTTGAATGCCATTTCACAGAAAGACCATTGACTATTCGTTTTAGTCTCCATTCAAGAGACCTACAAGTGTAACTGTCCAGATAGTATTAGGTATTGTAGTGTTCCTTGTCTCCTCTAACAGTCCCAGACAAAGCACACCTAAATAGCACCGTGCCTGGCACAATGCCTAATAAATAGCTGTCGAGTGAATGAGATCTCAACAATGTGACAGGAAAGTGGCCTGATCTAAATTTTGCAGGTAAATATGGAAAAACTCAGTGACAGGTGACTTAAGCAGGAAAGCATCCTAAAGTTGCGGTGGAAGGAACAGGGCTTGGGTATGAATAATTAGCAAAAGGATGGGAGTGAGAGAGTGTGTCTGATGTGATTTTGAGATTCATAGTTGCTAGGTACTTAATCTGGTATAAGGAATAGGTCCCTAAAGTAAAAGAGGCTGGGCACAGTGGTTCACGCCTGAACCCTAGCTACTTGAGAGGACTATGGTTCAAGGCTAGCTTCCACAAAATGTTTGAAAGACCCTATCTCAGCTAATAAACGCTGGGTGAGGTGGCCTGTTAAGCAGAAAACATAAATAGGAGGCTCACAGGCCAGATAAGTGAGACCCTATTCAAAGGAAACTAAAGCAAAAAGGGATGAAGGTGTAACTCAAGTGGTAGAGCTAATACCTGACAAGTGCTCTGCATTCAAACCTCAATACTGCATAAATACATAAATAAATAACCAACAAATGTGATGATATTTTCATGTGTTTTCTGGCAGCTCACAAACTGGTTGAAACAGGTCTATGGAATACAGAGTGTGGGTTTAAGTGACCAGTGCCTTGTTCCGGAGTAGGAAGGAAAGGAGGTTATTCCGGTTGATAAGAAGCAAGTACTTTCTGGCCATCAGCAGAATTTGTGCAATGGCTGTAGAAATGAAAAGAAGAGTGTGCTAAAAAGAAAATTTTTCAAGCAGATAAATACAGCTGTACTTAAAAAAAAAACCAATTTATGTTCTTTCTGTGCTAGAGGATCACAGCCACAGAGAGAAGAGACAGACAAAATAGGAATGCTTAAATGTTGACAGTTACCAAAGATGGATGAGGGTCCATGGAGGGCTATTGTATCATTGTGTCATTGCTTGTGATGATGGATACATTTTTATGAAAAAGATTTTAAAGAATTTTTACTCTTGGGTAACTGTAAACAATCCTGCAGAATTTCCTAGCTTGGATTGTTAGAGTATGTATATAAAAACGGAAGGAAAAAGAAAATGATATAAAGATGCCAGTGGATCCTGCACATAACATTGTTATTAATAAGTAAAGACTATATAAACAGATTTTCTCTTAGAATGAATTATGATGTGTGTTGGCCATAATGTTTCCTATTTCTTTCTAGACTTGAACTTGACTTCATGTTCTATTGCTTTCTCAACCAAATTCCTTTATTAGGACACTAAATAATTGTATATG